TATATATATATGTACATATACATACACACGTTCACAGCGCCAAGCACGACTTTGCATTCGGGAGTGGCAGAATGATAAATGTCGGAGAAACAACTGTTTTTGCGATTGGACGAAGCGATGTGAAGCTCGCGACTTCGACTCTTGTCGATATTTTGCAGGTATAAGGCCGAGGGCTTGCTTCATGCCTAACGAAACTTGACCCATGCTTCTTGTCCGGGTTCCCTGAAGATATTTATGCAAACTCTTCTTATTCAGCCGCGTTACAAGGAACCCTATTCTAGTAATGATACGGCCCCTATATCATGAAACTTGATACAGAACCCTTCTCATCACCTCTTTCGAACCCTTTGAAGAACCCTACTCCAATTGTTCAGGCCTTGTAGACACAGATACATATAGATATCCATACATATGCATATATATATATATATAGATAGTATATATGTATATATGTATATAATGGATATATCATATCTTCGAGCCAAGGCTGCCGAGAGAAAAGGCGACATGCTGTTCCCCTAACCGTTCCCCTATCTTCCAAGTCGCCTGATCCTTTCAGTGTATCGTAGTATCTTACCGTTGCGCCCCTGCACATTGTAGGATGCCCAGGCTTTACGAAAGAGGCGAGTTCGACAATCCAGACAAGGCACAACCATTGCGTGCAAACCACACTCCCGGCAGGAAACACCATACCTGCCAATTTGCTGAGTCTCTGATGCCTTGCGGGCTGGTTGGAGGGATCCCGGCCCACAACCTGCCCTGCAGTACGCCCCTTTTGTGGCTAACCGTGTTCTGGTTCGGACCCTCTGATAGAAGAAGGTAACGCAGAACAACTACGGGCAAGCGTCTAAAAGAAAGCCCTAATAACACTCCTGATAATGTGTCAGAAAACCGAGTAAGAGGCCTCAAATCCGTTCAAAACAAACCCTAAACCCTGTATCCTCTCACAAGATTTGCCTTGCTAAGGAGCCCTTGTAATACCCAAAAGAACCTAAAAGAACCTTTATGAGAACACTGATAAGGCCCCTTACATAAACCTCATTAGAACCTACGGAGCCACGTAAAACACTTGCAGGAGCACTTCTACCAACCCTCATTTTGACCGTATTTAACCTCAAAAGAACATCATGGAGCAATTAGAGGAGCACTTCTGGAACCCGAATACATACACACCCTAAACCCTAAACCCTAAACACTAAACCCTAAACACTAAACCCTAAACCCTAAACCCTAAACCCTGCGGCCCTGCTTAGCTACTTCCCTTGGGTCCAGAGGGGGCCTTGGAGCACCCCCAAAGCGACGAAGGCCGTGCCGAAAGCAAAGCTACCGAAGTCCATCCTGAGCTTCGGGTGTAAGCTTTAGGAGTATCTAGGGTTGAGGGTTCAGGGTGTAGTTGGTTTTAGATACCTTGAGCTGCTTTTCTCAAGTGTTTTTCGAGGGTTCTTTAGAGTCGTAGGAGGCTTTGTGGTAGGGCTTGAACAGAGTTGCTGCCTGTAGCTAGGTTCCTGCAAGGTTTCCTTTCAGGATTCGCTTAAGAGCTGCTTTCAGGATTCCGCGAAGGCCCCCCCCCCCCCCCCCCCCGGTTCAGCCCTGTGTGCACACTCCCCCTGATTGTTCGGATTAGACGACTCATGGACCTGTCCTTAAGGACGGAAAGGACGGAAAGGGCCCAAAACCCATACAGGGTTTTGCAGGTATAGGACATTGGGCCCAACGAGTTTCAGGAACATCTCGTCCTGAAGCCCTGGCGCTAAAACACGAACCCCCTTCCCCCCCAAAAAAATCTCGCAGAGCCGATGGAACTCAAGGCTCAGGCGGGCGGAGATCTTCTTGTTGGGTCGATACATGTGCAGACACGACAAGAGGTAATAACTTCGAGGCCCACGACGGTCCGGACAGACCCCAACGTTTGAAGCCTCCCGTTTCACCTATGTGGGCACGCTGACATCGTTTCACCCAAGTCGGGCGCGCCCCGTTCCACCGACACGGCGAGCTGTTGCCGCGCTGCTAGCCTGTTTCGTTTGCGGGTTTCACTCAGTTCACACCCGCCCCACCCGACTAAACCCCACCGACCTCACCGGTCCACCCGACTGGAGCCTGCCCCGTTGGTCCCACTCGGTGTATGCAAGGCCCTCGGACAGCCTGGTCTTTCCCTAGATTTTGCGTTACGAACTATACTGAGCCCCTGATAGGAACCCTGGAAGGAAGCCTTCAAGCCGAAAATGGAAGCCTGATAGGCACCCCTCAAGGAATACTTACTGTTCTGGACTTATAAAACCCTAAACCCTTAAAGGAAGCCTGAACAAGAACTCTACCGGCGCCCTTAACCAATCGTGTAAAGCCATGGTCTCTGCTCCCTGGACTTATCGAACATTGTAGAACCCTCTAAGGAACCCTACTAGCACCCTCTAAACCCAAAACCCTTAGAAAGCACCCTACCCTAAACCCTAAACCCATGTAACGCCTTGGTCTCTGCTCTCTGGAGCAAGCCGCAGAGCTGGTGCGAGGAAGCAGCAGACGCCAGAGGCCAGCATGCAAAAAAGCATCACCTGAGAGGGTTTAGGGTTTAAGGTTTAGGGTTTGGGGTTTAGGGTTTAGGGCGAAGAGGGTCTTTCAGCGTTTCGGGCTCCGTAGGGCTTACTGTTTTAGGGCTTATAAGGTTTAGGGGGTTTCGTGTTTCTGAGTAGGCCTTATAGGGTTTAGGAGGGCCCAGACTACAACTTCAATGTCCCCTGCAGGTCAATCTTTGTAGTTCCTTTTTTTTTGGTTTAACCAATAATATATTCAGGAGTTTATAAGGTATCCCCAAAAGGAACTACAATGGAGACACTAGGTAGAGTGTAGATCCATGGCGGAGGAGGATGCGCCCCTTCCAGCGTAAGGATCCTAGCGGGGTTCCTTATATCGTGAGGCCAGTCAAGACAGCATGAACCGTTGGGATTTCGATTTAGAGCTTAAGGTTACGGTAGAGATCCTGATCCCAAGGCTTTGAAAGAAAGGGGGTGTTCATTACTACCCAAGGGTCCGCACTACTTGTGAGGGAATGAGCTGCTCCCGAGCTTGCCCAGAAAACCCAATACCCCTTAATTAAGGAATATACATTAAATACTAATATGAAGGCCCCGATAATTTAAGCTATATTCCTTCATTAAGGGGTATTAGGTTCTCTGGGTGAAGGCAAGTAGCACCGTAGCCTCCCAAACGGTCGGCAATGATCCCTCCGAGCACCTGCAGGATGCCGCGTTTAACAGACGGTTTAGGGTTTAGGGTTTAACAGCCCCGTGTTCTCTTGGGTTGCTTGTTCAAGGGGTTTTGGGTTTGGGGGTCTTAGTTTGGGTCTAGGACCTTAGGATTTGGGAGTTGCAGTGTTTGGGGCTCAGGAGTAGTTTGTATGACGGTTGTTTCTACACTGTTACACCTATGTGGAAATGCATACCCTATCATACCACTACGCTGGGCCAAAGTGTGCTTCCCGGAGCCTTTGCTCGTTTCCTTGACCAGTGCATGGCCCTTTGTATGGGAGTCTGGGTTTGCCCTACTACAATGTATAGCAATATGGCAAGGTGGCTGTCGATACAATATCCTGACACATAATTTCGGTTTGGGAAACCCTAAACCCTAAACTCTAAACCCTGAAGCCTAAACCCTAAACCCTAATAGGGAATGTCTGACTGCAACAAGGCCAGGCCAGAAGCCTAGGCTCTTGTCTTGCGAGGACCATACATGACCTGGCACTCCTCCGAAGGGTTTCTGAAGCTTCATGCTTTACACTTCGGCAGAAGAGGGGAAGCCCGGAGGATTCGGAAGCCCTCAGCTGAAGCGAACACTGAAGCCATGCCCTGCTTCAAGCTCCCAATGGAGCTCTCAAGGTCGTTATCACCATCATCATCATCACCATGCCCACCTCCATGATCGACTTCATCTTCATCATCGCAGTCATCGAGCAGGGATGCAACGTGCGGGAGCGCCCTACTGTCTTGCCTGTGTGGCCAAGTAGCCGTTCCTCCGGCACAAGCACAAGCGGGGTCGCAGTAATATAGGGGCCTTAACAATTAGAACAGGGTTCTGGGCCCCCTATGTTAGGTCTCCATGCAGCGTGCAGCTGAGCATGATGGACAGCTCTCACTGAAGCCGGTCCCATTATGATGGACTGAAGCGACTGTTGGATGGAGTATTGCGTGAGGGTAGACTAGACATACTTACTGTGGCAGCTACAACACTGCATAAAGCAGTAATAACAATATGATGCTGTGCATGTGTATATATGTATAAATATAAATAAATAAATCAATAAATAAATAAACAAGTAAATAAATAAATAAATAAATAAATGAATATATATATATATATAATACACGTTTGTGTGTGTTGATGTAAGCACAATGGCATCAACAAGTACAGACCACCCGTTGTAATGCACCGTAAATGCGCAATACTAAGCAAGTAGTGCATGCTCTAATATACCATGTAGGTCCAGCGCATCTTGTGCAAATGTTGCAGTAAACGCTCAGGTCAATCAGTCCGTGTTAAGAGTGCGGAAGGCGGCGTGCCTCACAAGTCTTGTTCCGACAATCAACAGTAACTACTTATCCGGAGCGTTGACCAAAACAGCGGTAAAACAGCCAGAGGCAGGGACATGTTTTTTCAACCAACTGCCGGTACCTGTCACAATCGTAAAAAGGCCAAACCACCCAAACCCTAAACCCAAACACTCTAAAACCATATAAGCCGGCCTGGATCCTTACATCGTAAACTCCAAACCCTCCCTAAACCCTGAAACCCTAAACCCTAAAACCCTTAACCCTAAAACCCTAAAACCCTAAACCCTAAAACCCTGAATCCTGAACCCCAAACCCCGAAGCTTGCGGCCAGGCATCGCATAGCGGGACATTAGGTAGCCTTGCTCGCTCGAGCTGAGCTGCAGCTCCATCGTCAGAGTAGGAAGGAGCCTTGTGATCGGGCGGAGGGAGTTCTTCAAACTGAGGGTGGGGCGGTATCGTGTCTAGGGTTCCTTATAATCATAACACGGAAGCTGCTATTCAGGATCCAGAGCATGATAAACTCTAGGTATACACCCTTTATAATAGAAGCAGATGACTGCTCTGTACAAGGTCCACGACGGCTGATCATCTACGAAGTTTATACAGACGTTCAAGTGAACTCTAGTGCCATGCTCAATGCTCGTGTTGACGGGGTGTTGCGATTAGCATAGACACCCCTGGTCCGCATAGATCCTTAACCCCCAGAAACCGAACTCTTAAAGCCACATTGAAACCCATCAAACCTTAACATCGACTCGTGAGGAAACCTCGAAGGATACCTAACCACCCCACCCTAAACCCTGAACCCCAAAAACTCTGAACTTCGCAGCTTCAGACGCCCTAAACCCCTCCCAGTCGGCCGAAGCATGAAGTAATGTAGGGGCCTGAATAATAAGAATAGGGTTTTGGGGTTTTTTCTACTATAACTACAATAAAAAAATACCCCCAAATAGTATTGGCAATTATTCAAAGCCCTAAACCCTAAAACCCTAAAGCCTAAACCTGGATTGTCGGCCTTCGGATTTCGGGGCTTGGGGGCTCAGGTCTACCTGAGCCCTGAAGCGCCCACCTTGTTTAGGGTTTAGGGTTTTAGGGCTCCCTCTTATGATTTCCCCATAGAGACGCGCTTAGAAAGCCGTGTGGTTTGGGGTTGAGGAAAGATTCATAGGTAGGGAGTTTGGGGTCAAGGGCTGCGTGCATCGCCCAGACAACGAGAAAAGGATAGAAACGAGATTAGGGTTCAAGGTTTAGCTTTTCTTGAAAGTTTCTTCGCGCTTACGGCCGAAACCCTAAATCCTAGGGTCTGGGGTTTGGGGTTTTGTGGCATATCGCACCACAACTCCGCAGAGCTCAAGGAGTAATGCTTCGCCGATCCGATCCGGGTCTGGGTACTAGGGGCGTTATCAGAATAGTGTATATTCTACTATAGTCATACTAAGGAACCCGCTAAATAGTATTGGCAATTATTTGGGCCCCTACGGTACCTGAAGATCAGGCTGGAAGCGGAAGGGCGTTTCGCGTTTAGAGCGGTCTCTGCCTTCGGAAGCTGTGAGGTCTCAAAATCCGAAATCCGAAACCCTAAAACCCTTAGTCGTAGAAGCCGGAAAGCCCAAGGGTTCAGGGTTCACGGTTTAGGGGTTTGGGGGTTTAGGGTTTTAGGGTTATAGGGTTATAGGGTTTAGGGTTTTTCAGGGTTTAGGGTTTAGGGTGTCAACGCCCTAAACTTCACAACATAAAGTCACTTCTGCTGAGGACCTGACACGCCCAGCTGCGCCCGGCAAAGGTAGGACATCAGCCGACTCCCTGTTTTGTTAGGGTTTGTGCAGTTTGGGTCATGGCAGTGATCCGGCGAATCAGAGGTCTACCCTAAACTCTAAACCCAAAAAATCATAAACCCTAGAAACCCTAAACCCTAAACCCAACGGTAACGACATTAAGCTCCTTGACAGACAAAACTGAAACAGTCTAGTCCTGACTCTTCACCTGCTGAGTTGCTTCGGCTTTTGGGCTGAAGATCCCTGGCTTGCACAATGTACGGGCCTAAATAATTACCTACATTCGGGTTCCTTCTGTTAACTATAGTATAATATACCCAAAACCATATTCTAATTCTTAAGGCCCCGAGATTGTGTTCGGCTTCCGAGTCACCAGGTTTCACCACATCAACTCTCAGATCTGAAAAGCACCCCTGACATTTCGAAGGCAGGGTCTCCTTAATGATAGGGTTTGGGGTTTAGGGTTTAGGTTTTTTTTTTTAAATGCAATAGCCCTTTCTCCCGCATGAGGTCAGAAGGCTCGCTCCATTGGAGCATGCACTAAGAAGAAGCAAATGAGGGCAAGATTGACCACTCCTCAACTCAGAAAAGGCTCCCTACTATTCACCCAGGCTCTCTGTTGTGCGTCGTCCACACATTTGACTATGCCTCAAGTCGTGTCATGCGTCGCCATGTTCTTCACGTCCGCCTCCTTCTTCACCTCCAGCACGTCCATCTTGTCCCTCACGTTCATCATGTCCTTCATGACCGTCGCGTTCATCATGTCCTTCATGACCGTCGCGTTCGTCACGGCTGCGGCTACGATCCATTCTGGGCTCCCTGCGTGCTGACGAACTTGTTGCCACACCCCGCCAACGTGAGCTCTGATCAGACTCTGCCGCGTCATCCTCCTCCAGTTGTCCCACTGGTACTCGTCGTGCAGCCACAAGGCCATAGGTGGGAACAGGTCGTGCGCGAAGAAGACGGCGCCGAGCAGCAACTCCCCGTACTTGGCGGTGAAGGAGTGGATCTTCTGGAAGAGGAACATGCTGGGGCAAGTTGGAGATGACTGTGTCTTCGTTTGTCTGTACGAAGTACAGCTCTCTGTCATCTTCAGCGGGCCAGTTGCCCCTTGGACAGCGTCTGCCAGAAGCCAGGTACAATTGCTCAACGTGCACCCTCCACCCCCTCCTTCTATACCCAGCCACCACGTGTTCCTCCACTCCTGGGAAGGCCGAGAGCAGGACCTCCAGAGTAGGGGGCAGATCAGGCTGGAGAAGGACAGCTTGCGGAGCCGGTAGCCCTGTGTTGACCGAGGAAGTCGGTGCCGATCCTTGGGCAGCCTCGCGGCTAATGACACCCCAAAGACGGACTTCCATGGTGGCAGCGTTGAACGGACGAGCATATATTCCTCTTGGGACCCAACATAGGCATTCCTCCAAAGCTGTCCCAACCAGGCGAAGGCAGTGTTGGAGTCGTCTCTGCCGGTCGAGTAATCGACGGAGCACATCAACCACATCCGCTGTGCCTGCATGCTGCAGTTCAAGGTTGATCGCGTCTCTCACAATCTCCCCACTTGTGATCGATGACGTTGTCGTGGTAGAGGACGTCATAGTGCAGAACTGCAGCGTTAAGACACAGGGGACAGCAACAACTGTTCCCATGTGGCCAGATCCCAACCAAATTTCCGAGGAGCTGCTCAGCGAGGACGGGAGCTGAGTTTGGCCAACAGTCTCTGGAGGGGTAGAAGACGATGTTGTCAATGAAGTCACCCCCATCAAGAAGGTTTGCATTCCAACAAATTCATCCCCAGGTGTTGTAGAGGATGGCCAGGGACTGGTGGAAGAGGATGCCAATGTCGTTGTCGCTGGCCACGTGGACGAACTCGCCGAGGAGGGAGCAGACGATGTAGTCAGAGATCTCGTAGACACGGAAGACGTCGGCGTCCAGGTCTGAGGGCGAGTGCACATGGTCGGTGAGTTTGCGGGTGGACAGGTCGCAACTTCTCTCGTGAACAACCTGGTTGATCCCATCGAGGTGGTGGTCACTGTTCCAGTTGAGTTGAGGGAGAGGATCTCCCAAATAAACTGTTATTCGCCGATAGATCTTCAAGAGGGGGGTCTCGCCAAATACCAGGTAGCAGGGCCGGGTCCACCCCAACTTGTAGCGAAACGTTCACCTCTGTGTCCAGTTCAGCAGCGGATTCCTCTTCTTCTTCTTCAAAGTTCGTTGCCGGGGACGACGAAGCACCACCATCGGCGGCAGGAGGTCGAGTTGCTGTTACCGGACTTCTGCTGCGGTCCCTTGTTTGTTGTCCTGATGAAGATGGGAGTTCATAGGGAGCGGCTGTGTGGAAGCCTAAAGTCACCCCCTCCGTTGGGTCCACCTCCTGCGGCTGTAAGGGAGCTGCCAGATTGACCTCGAGTTGACGCAGGAAGATGGAATTGAATTGGCGCGCCCAATTCAGCCACCTGTAGCGAGCAAGCTCCTCGCCTGGAATACGTTGAAGAGGCAGATAACCACGTGGGACCAAGCGTCGAAGGAGGATGTCGAGGACCACCTGCAAAGTTTGTACCCCATCCTCAAGCCTCGCAGTCAGGCGTGCAAGAGCCCATCTCGCTTCTGGCCCTGTTCCATCGACTTGGTGATCATCGATCTGATGAAGCAGCTCTTCCACCCTGTTCACATTCTCCTGGGTGAGGCCATTCTCCTGGAGGGTGGCCCTCTCACCGTTGGTCAACTGCATGAGCCATGTAACCTCTTCCTCTAACGTCCTCACATCTGGGAAGAGGCCGAAGTTCGGGATCACCATGTCACCCTCCTCTGGTGCACTCGTCGTGGTAGTAGACGTGGAGGAAGAGCAAGAGGTCCGCCAGGTACATTGTGTGTCCTGTTGTGCCTCCTTCTCATCCCATTGCCAGCTGTCACCAGCACATTGCCATCCATCCCACGTCGACGCGGACCACCAAGTAGACCACTGTGAGTCCGACCAAGTGTGCATCCCATGCCCCATTGATGAGTTAGTCCAGCCAGACGGAGAGGACCATGCCACCCAAGCTGACCCAGTCGACCATGTTCCATTGTGAGAAGGGTATTCATCCGAAGGAAAAGTCACCCCAGGTGCACCAGGTGTGGACGAACTCGGTTGCTCTATGGCGGGCTCCCCCAAGAGGTCTTGACCATCATGTGTTCCCGCCGTAGTGGACGTAGAGGAGGCATCTTCGCGGAGACGACGGTCAGCTGCATACTGTACCAACCAGGCCGGTTTCCAACGCCCATCAAAGTAGGCTTGCATTCTTTCCTTTTTTCTTCGGGTCCGGATTTCACCCCCGCCCCCACGGTGAGCACGAAGTTCTTGTTCTGTACGTGGACGGTTATGCCATACTCCTCCTCGCCAGAAACCCACTGCTTGGCTGGTGCCTCCGTCAGAGGAAGACATCCCAGATTCAGTGTCGGCCATGTCCGCGTCCTCTCCTGCAGTTGTGCTTGTCTCATTGTCCAACTGCGATGAAGCTCGCACAGTGAAGTTTTTCCCTGACGCATTCACCCCATGCAGAAGGGTGTCTCCCGTAGCAGGGTCAACTTCCTCGACACCAGTGAGCTGAAACCAGGGTTCCGAGGGGAATGTCTCCTCCGGTACGGACGGCAGCGGCGCGTGGTTAGACTCGGCTGCCTGGCGTTCTCGAAGGCGAACCCTGATGGTGCCATCAGCATGGTGCCAGCGATCCCTCCCAGCACGGGCCTTGCCAAATCGAGAGGTGATCCCCAGTTCATCTGGCTTCTCCAGTGGTTCACCTCTCTGACCACGTTGTGTTGTTCGCGTAGGTCTCCCCCGAAGTTGCCGCTTGTCAATGACCAGTTCCAGCCAGTCCGCATTGGGTTGTCTGGTTCCCGTGGCATCCAATTCCGGTGTCCATGTGGTCCATGTCGGGTAGAAGGACTGTCGATCCGTCGTTTGGTCTCCTTCTCCTCGGCTGTAATCGATGCCATGGGCCACCGCATGCGTGGGCGTAGTGGGATGCCACGATGAGCTGGAGCAGGTAGAGGAGCTCGGCAAAGGCTGCCACGATGAGCTGGAGCAGGTAGAAGAGCTCGGCAAGGGCGGGCAGGACGACGTAGAGGAACTCGGCAAGGTCGAACAGCTCGAAGACGAAGAGGGCAAGGTCGGCGGGGTAGACGAGGAGCTTGGTGTGTGACCACCATCTTCACGAGGAGGAGGCCAATCCCATTCCGGTAGCGCTCTTATTGGTTCGGCGTCCTCTTCATCTTCAATGTCCCAGGCTGAAGGGGCAGGGCTGATCATAGGACAGGTCATCCCAGCCATTGAGTTCGTTCCTGTCACCGGCGGAGGTCGTGTTTTCGACTGGTCAAATTCCTCCTGCTGCAAACTCATGCAAAGGTCTTCATCCCAGGCGGAAGACATATAGGCCATCACCCTGGGATCAGATCCAAGAAGACGACGAGCAGAAGACGAAGAAGACGACGCTGTAGAGTCACCCAAAGCACCGGTCACCGTAGAAGAGAGCTCATCCACTTGGCCAGACGGTGTATGCGGAGGAGCCACCACAGCCATAGAAGGGGTAGAGGAAGTCGCCACCCCGGAAGGGCAAGTCTGCTGGGGCTGGTGCTCTTCCAAGTCGGTCTCCCACGCACTGAGCGGAGCCGGCTGGGTCGAGGTTGCCGGTAAGTGCGATTCCCATAAGTGGCCTGGGTATTCGTCCACATCGTCATTGTTGCCAGCTGCATCCATCTGGAAGGGCAGGGTCGCGAGGACGAGGAACAGAAGAGGCGGCCATCGACACGTAGCCATTGTGAACACGGATGGCGAAGTTGCGGGTGGGAGGTCCAAAATCACCTGGAGCCAAAGTCACGAGCCACAACCAGGGATCTCAGCTGTTTGTGCGGAGCAAACATGTAGCCTTGCATCACAGACAAGTCGTGAGCCTAGAAAGTGTCAGTAGGGAGAAGTATATCAAATCTCATGACCTCGAGGAAACGAAAAGTGATCACATTCAGCAAAGGTGAGGCGGCATGCGCCAACATGCAGGAGGGCATCATGTGGACAGCTCATGTACACCTCAGTCGTGTCGGACTTCACACCGTACATAAGCAATCACTCAGAGTCATCAGCATGTGAGGGCCAGTTGCCTACCCCTCGTCCATTTCATATCCCATTTGGCAAGAAAAGCATCACGCTCTTTGGTCCACTTTTGACGATCATTCGCAAGTAACCTCCATTCATTTCCATGAACTTCTGCAAGCTGTCTTTCAAGGTTGTGCACATATACATGTCCGACATGCCGAACCGGTTTAGGGTTCAGGGTTTAGGGTTTAGAGTTTAGGGTTTAGGGTTTAGGGTTTGGGAATGTCATGACCTCGTTACCCCGAAATCCCCAAAACAGGAAAATCGAGAACTCCTGCAGCTGTCCAAGAAGTGACCTGATGACTCTGGAGGTAAAGCTTGTCATGATGGAGACGATTCCGATGATGATGGTGGCGATTCCGATGATGGCGATTCCGATGATGATGATGATGGTGATGGTGATGATGATGATTATTTGATGATGATGATCACCATGCTGAGCAAGGAGGTAGCGCTGGTGGCGCTGAGGAAGGCAAGCTGGTCAGGAGTCAAGATGCTGCTCTTTCTAGTGGCGGTGAAGCAGGTGGTGACTGTTGGACCCGATCCCGCGTCTGCTAAAGCTTGGGGCCTGCCACCAGGTAAGCTTGTGTCGCTCGAACATCGGTCATCCTGCCGGTGGCCCCAATCTGTGTTGCTGCATTGGAGTCAGCTAACACCATTTTATTGACCTACTCCTGACATGTGAAAACTTAGGCCCGGGTCCCAACTACCCCACGCTTCACAAGAGCGCATTCTATGTCTTCATGTCTTGAGCTTCGGGAATCTACCCGGAAGCAAGTCAACGGGCACTCTGGAGCAGCACAGTTCGCTTCCGGCTCAGGCTAGACGTGCTTGAGGGGTTAAGGTTTGCTTTAAGATTTCGGCATGCTTTTCGAGAACCCACCGTGATCAACAACGGCGATCCATCGACCCTGACCTCTCGCCGAGGTCGAGCGGCTGCTCTGGGTCACTGGCGTCGCCCACCTCGTACCCGGTCTGAGGCCAGCAGGACTTTAGGTTTAGGGATACACTGAAGGCTAAGGACTTTCGGCGCTTATTATAACGGCTTTTTCGGAGCAGAGGGCCCCAAACCCTAAACCCTAAACCCTAACCTAAAAAGGAGCTTTGCATTTGTTTGTGTTAGGGTTCTTGAGCGCTAAGGATGCAGGACTTCGGGCTGGGGGGGTAAGGGCTTTAAGGCTTCGATTGCTTAGGGTCTATGAATCATGGTTAGGGTTCATGAATTATGGTTAGGGTTCATGAATTATTACGTATGGTTAGGGTTCATGAATTACGGTTAGAGTTTATGAATTATTACGTGGTTAGGGTTTCTGAATTATGGTTTGGGTTTGTGAATTATGGTTAGGGTTTGTGAATTATGGTTAGGGTGTATGCATTGTGGAAAGTATAGGGTTCAGGATTGCGGGATTTAGAGTGGCAGCGCCTTTAAGATCGACTCGCATAAACAACCCCCCTAAACCCTAAACCCTAAACCCTAAACCCCTGTTGGGAGCCGATGGTGAATTATTGATGCAGGGGACCCGGAACATCGGGCAAGGGGGTGCGATTGAGGACCCTAAACCCTAAGCCCTAAACCCTGAAGCCTAAACCCTAAACCCTAAAACTCCAAAAAACCCTAAAAACCCTAAAACACCTACAAACCCCCGCACCCCTAAATCCTGAACCTCGCACTTCAAGTTTCGGAGCCTTGAGCATCCTCCATGGCAGAGCCGAGACCCAGAAGAGTGGCCGTTCAAGGGAGGCACTGGGACCACAGGTTTAGGGTCTAGGGTTTAGGGTTTTAGGGTGATCTTTCAGACTTCCGGAGATATGCCCTAATTTACCTGACCTGCGGGGTTTCTTACCGTGGCTTTTTCTGCATTCTGGTCATGGGAAATCCGAAAGCGGCTAGAGTTTCATAAAGTCTGGCGTCTAGGGTTGCGAACTGACAAAAATATAAAACTGACACCCGGCTGGGGCAAGGGTCAGTTCAAAGGCCATGGATTGCATCTGCAAGGCATTCTGAGGCAGGCATCGAGCCTTCGAATCAGCGACGAGCAGCAACAGAGCCCTCATAATCTTCTCGAAGTACGCAGTATATAGTATATAAAGAATTGCTACTGAGCATCATCATCATCATCATCATCATCATCATCATCTTGACAAAGCGACTGACAAGCACGACAAGCCGCAGGAGAACTGGCAACCCTGGTACCCTAAACTTTTAACTTTTACTCTCTCTGAGAACAAGAAGGAGAAAGCTTGATAACCTGAAGGGGACACCCAATCCCAAGAACATAAACACCCAAACGCCTAACCGGTATCCCCTAAACCCGCACTGGGGTCGAAAGACCTTTTGGGAATGAGTGTAAGGCATCAAATTCGAACCCACCCCCTTGAAGTGCTTCTTTGTGAGATCGCCCACGAGAGACTCTGTACATCTCTGTACACGCCGCGGGTACCCTCAGCTTTTCTTCGATGTCTGAAGTTGACGGCTTGCTGCTTAGGCTTCTAGTTTAGGTTTCAGGGTTCAGGGCTTGGGGTTTACTGTAGGATGGTTTAGAGTCGGTAGGCTTCATTTTCAAGGGCTTGGAGTTTGGGGTGGAGGGTTTAGGGATGCGGTGGGATGAGGGCCTTAACAATTAGAGAGGGGTTTGACTGTGTCTTAGTATATCGATGTTGGAGTTTTAAGGGGACATATTTACTGTCTATCATTCCATAGCAGCAATCCTGGTTGAGACACCAAAGCTTCGAAGAAGAAGAAGTCCACCCTAGAAGCTTCTACGTCTGAATGTTTAGCTACCCTAGATAGAGTGTTGGAGGAATTTAGCGTTTGGGGTTTAATTTAGTGTGTAGGGTTTACGTTTTAGTGTTCAGGGTTTAGGGTTTAGGGTTCTAGAGTGATTCAGGGGTTTATACTATACATATACTAGGGAGCCCTGTTGAAATGCTGCTAACTATAGACCCATTCTTCACGTCGCAGTTCCCCACCCAAAACTCCAGTCTAACAATTCAGCTTTCTGTGGCAGGACTTTCTCAGGGTAGGGATGACTACTTCTGAGGATGTGGGTTCAGGGTTTAGGATTTAGGGTCAAAAAGGCTCAGGCCATGTTGATTCAAGCTCGGGGTCCGTGGCCGAGGGCCCACTGAGCCCTCGACCTCAGAACCCGAAGCCGGGGAGTTAGGATTAGGGGGGATCCTTGGGAATATAGACCTTCTCAATTAGGTTCCTTCTTAGAAGAGCAGGAAGTAGGGTTAAGAAGGGTCCCCTTTAAAGGGTCTCCCTACTGCTACCCACAAAAGCCGTCAACCTCAGACCCGCATGGAGCCAAATCCACACGACCACGCAAGCGTCATTGCGGGGTGCAGTGGCAGGCAGCGATTTCGCGACTCATGCGATTTCCCAGAGGGTCCATGTATACCCAATATTCGAGCACATGGTGAGTTTAGGGGAACAGTAGCTCTAGATTCGCATAATATGAAAGGGAGCCGCATTGAGCTCAAAATATATATTGGGCCTTTGGACCCTTAGGGTTTCTCTCGCATGTGCCAATCAACTGCTGGTAATTCCACGATGCTCTGGCGCGGTTTAAGGTTTAGGGTTTAGGGTTTAGCGTTTAGGGTTTAGGGTTTAGGGCTACCATCCCAGAGAACCCAATACCCCTTAATTAAGGAATATACCTTAAATCATAAGATTAAGGCCCTTATAATTAAAGGTCTATTCCTTAATTAAGGGGTATTGGGTTCTCTGGGATGGTTTGGGGGCTTGGGGGTTTTAGGGGTTTAGGGTTTAGGGTTTTGGGTTTTGGGGGGTTTTGCGGGTTTTGGGGCTTAGGGCTTAGGGGTTTTGGGGGTTTAGGGGCTTAGGGATAAGGGTTTAGGGGGTTTGAGGGTTTAGGGCTTAGGAGGTTTATATAACCGTTCAGGCTTAGGGGTGTGAGTTCCCTAAGAGCTCCAAGTATAAACAAAAGCGTTAAAGAAAGGGGCGCGGAGGGCAACCCAAAACCCTGAACCTGAACAAAGCATTCCACATCGAAGCAGGGTTATTGCTGCTTCCGAGAAACGCTGTGAAGTCCTCTTCATTCGGCCAGCCCTCACCTGTGGTTTAGGGCTCATGGAACTTTAGGGTCTAGGGTTTCTAAATTTTTAGGGTTTAGAGAAGAGTTTCTTGGTTTAGGGTGTGGGGTTTGGGGGTTTGGGTTCCACGTGCTTGCTTGGATTGGCATGGCTGTATATATTCTAGTGCTCATTTGGTTCACTGCACCATCGCTTGCTACTAGCTCTTCCTCTTGCTGTATACCTCTTTCTCTTGCTGTATACTAGTTGTTTAGAAACGAAGGACTTTGTCACGGCTTTGCTGGGCATTACGGGTTGGTCATGTTTTTTCTGTGTAAAGGGCTTTCAGAAGTCCGAATCCCACGCCGATAAGCAAGAGCCCAAAGCATCGAAGAATCGGGTACTTGCATTTAGGGTTTAGGGTTTAGGGTTTAGGGTTTAGGGTGGTAGCAATGTAGGGTAGCTGGCTTGTCCGATATCCGAAAAGCACTGAAACTGAAGGCAAAATCTTCGGGGTTCTACAAGGACTGCAGCAGCCCCCAACAGGCTAAAGGTTACCTACTCTACCAAACTAGTGCTTGGGCAGTGTTTACCATTTGGACTCATGGGGAAACCAATGGAACCGCAGTCGCCATCCGTCTCGCCGTCGCTGGTGGTGTCATCGCGGACCTCATGGCTTTTTGCTCCAGACTCTGTTCGCAGAGACAGCGATCTGTTGCTCTGCTGCCATACACTGCCTCGTGGCCAAGTTGAACCCGTGTAGGTTTGACACTGCGAGGGAAACTTGCCTATGACTTGGCGCAATAACAGTTCCCTACCAACAGGTTTGAGGAAGCCTCAGCCGTGTCGGGGAAGACTCTAAGGAAGAGAAATGTTCAACCAGTACTTGCTTTTTCACCTTGCGGTAACTAAAGGGTTTGGGGAAAGTGTGAAGCCCAAACTATATCTCGCACCCAAGCGACTGCCAGTATCGTGGCCTCAACAACAGGATTCGGCCGGGTTTTTGGAGTCTACTATGGTATACTTATGACACTGCCAGGGGATGTTGATTGTCAGTAGTTCTCTAGACCTCTATACTACTCTCTCGGACAAGATGCTTGCCGGGGCCGCAGGAACCTCGGAGAAGCGAGCGGAGCTGACTCAAGAGGGTTTAGAGTCTTTTAGGGTTTAGGGTTTAGGGTCCCTAGGGGTTTAGGGTTTAGGGTCCCTTAGGGTTTAGGGTCCCTTAGGGTTTAGGGTCTAGGAGAGACTCTGTGAGCTTCGGTGGGTTTGGGGCTCCTCCTGGGGTTAGGGCCTTGGGCCTAGGGCTTGGAGCTTGAGATTTAGAGTTAGGGCTTATAGGCTTGAGGGTTTAGGCTTTAGGGTCGGGGGTTTACAGTCTTAGGGTTTAGGGCTTATATGGGCTTCTAGGCTGTAGGCTTTAAAAATAAGGGAAATGAAGGTTCAGGGTAATGAGGGTTCTATTTAACGCGCTGTCTTGCGACTTATGCCAAACGGATTGGAAGGAGGATGAGCTGCATTTTCAATTTCCACCAAGATTAAGGTTTCTGTAGGCTCTATAAAGGTTGCTATAAGGGTTCGAGAAGAGCTACTACAAGGGTTCTAGAAGAGTCTAATGGTGGGGCCTTTATGACTAGAACAGGATCCCAATAAAGGCTGCCACGGGCGCGTGTAGACTCGGAATCCTACCGTCGACCATGCGGTCATATCCGAAGACTTACAACCGACCTACAGCTGCGCTCCTGTCCTGCGACGACAACCCACGATCGTGGATCTGCAAAGCCGTTGCCATCAATCTGATATTTCAACCAACTATAGAGATTAATTAGCCCTAAACCCTAAACCAACTATACAGATTAGCCCTAAACCCTCAACCAACTATAGAGATTAGCCCTACACCCTAAACCCACTTTAGAGATTAGCCCTGCGCCCTAAACCCACTGTAGAGATTAGCAGCTTCGCTACTTACCATCTACTCGACGTCCAAGCTTGCACATCGCTTTTCAGGGAGGGATCTCCCGGCCAAGGCTCGAACTATGCAGCTGCGAGCAACACCGGGGAAGCCGCTGAGTTTGAAAATCCAGAAGTCAGGATTACAGATATACTATACTCATGGAGTTTATGGTGTATTCGTATTACATGAGTAGTATAGTACATATTATGTACTATACTATACTCCTCATGTACTTCGAATACACTGTAAACTCCAAGATGAACTCCCTGAAGATGTCAAAGTAGAGACCCCGGAAACTTTGCATGACGGGGCCGTCGTGCGACCAAAGCGCCGGCGAAGCAGTTCCACCCACTCGTGCTGGGTGTACTCCTGAGCGCGGAATCTCTTACAGTGGGATGTGGAGCTACTTCAAGCGGCTAGGCTGCTATGTGCATCATCCGTACACTTGTCTCAAGAGAACCAACCCAGCCCCAAAAGTAGGCGAAAGTTCCTACTGTTGCAATGGCAGCACGTCACAAAAACTTGAGCCGCGCCACAGTCCCTTGACCCTGGAGCCCTCAAGCTAAAGCCTGAAAACCCAATGAAAACGGATGGCCTCACGGAAGAGTGGCGAACATGGGTCACCGAGGTCGATGTCGGCCTGTCTCCGGAGAGTCTATAAGAGTCCCCGGAATAGTTTTTGTCTCACTCATGGAGAAGCGCTCCACAATACGGCTTACAGACATATATACTCCTCAAAGAAGCAATTTTAAGACGCAAACACCGTTGCTCAAAGTTCGGGGTTCAGGGTTTATGCGGTGCTGAAAGACCAGCCTGTCGAAGGGCTGCAATCGAGCGCTCGAGCTTGGCTGACGGCCTGCGTGGAACGGGGAGGGGGCCGAGCCATTGGCAAAAGAGACTGCTCAGCTATCCTACACGAGACTTTCAGGAACTACGGAAGCCTCCCTAAACCCTAAACCCAAAGCCTAGTAAGGACCCTACATGCCTAGGAGGATAGTTTCAAGGTTTTAATAATCCTAAATCCCGAGGAATCCCCACGGATTCTTTTCAACCTTATTCCACTTTAGCTTATGTAAAACAAACCCATAAACACCCCCAACCCTTGATTAGAAAAAACCTTGACTGCTTTAAAACAAACACTGAAGAATCCTTACCCTACACCCTATAAACCCTACACCCTAAAACCTTCAAAACTAAGAAAACCCTGAACCCTAAACTCTTAAATTCCGTACAACCCCAAACCCTTAAAGTAGCTCATGGTAACCCTAAGTTACGTCACCTCATGGGTAGTTCTCTAAAATAAGTCCTTTTTTAGGTCCCCCAAATAGTACGGCACCCTTATTAAACCCTCAAAGCCTCAACCCCAAACCCTAAATCCTGTTGGTCGATCCATAGGTCGAAAAAGGATCCTTTTAAGGACCCCCTTTAAAGGGATCCTAATTTGGAGAGCTACCCTCATGGCAGCAGACCCCTGCGCTGCGGACGCCGGGCGCCTCCGGCAGAGCCGCGAAGCTCCGAAGTAGGGCTCCTCGCAGCAATCTGTGTCGGGTTGTGGGGCTTTTGGATTTAAGCTTTTGGGAGTTCTTGGTGTGGGTTTTTGTTCGGATGATTCTGGCTTTGGTGGCTTATGGATTGGGGTTCAGGAATTAGGGTTTGGGGTGCTTGGTAGTGGGTTTATGGGGTTTTGGGATTAGGGTTGAAGGTTTTCGGACTACGCAGAGTTTTTTGGGTTTGGTTTTTGGTTTGGGTTTTGGGGTTTTGGGTTTTGGGTTTTGGGTTCTGGTTGGTTTAAGGCTAATAGAGTTTGTTCGAAGCAAGGTGCTCGGGGTTTGCGAGAGGGTTTCGCATGGAATTTCATGCAGTCTGCTCGACATGAGGGGTTCATTGGGGCTTAGTTTAGGGTTAACGTGTAAACCAAAAGATCTATGTGTTCAGGGTTAACCTTACCTATAGCTCCCATGACAGCATATCATGTAGCAGCCTGGTACCTCGAATAAACGACCCACATCTCGCTGGTTATTATCCGATCTACCTGCTGTGGTCCCTAAACCCTAAACTCTCAACCCCAAACCCACAAGAAAATGCCAGCTCGGGTCGCAGTCTCGCACCGAACTCGCAGGAAGGAGGCTGAAGGTTTAGGGGGTTGGGGTGTGGGGTTAGGGGGATACCCGCGCCTTGAAGCTGGGAACCTGAAAACGGCCCCGATGCAAATGTTTCTCAAAAGCTTGAGTACACTGCAGCACGGGGGAGGAAAGATGTACAAAAGTAT